GAGAAAGCCCCATTTCAGTGAGCATGCTCCATTCCCAGGCTTTTTTTTTTTTTTTTTTTTTTTTTTTTAAGTAGGCTCCATGGCCAGCATGGAGCCCAACACGGGGCCTGAACTCATGACCCTGAGATCAGGACTCCAGCCAAGATCAAGAGTTGGATGATCAACCGAATGAGACACCCAGACACCCCTCCCCAGGCCTTTTTGATGGGACTGTGCATAATATACACAGATGGGGTCCTCTCCAAGAACAAGATATCCAGTGTGCCTCTTAGGACCTTTGTGGGCCATCTCTGCCAGGGTTTAACTTGGTGAGGCAGGAGGTTTGAGAGGACATGCTGAAACCTCCTCTTTGTAATTTGCATTTTTTTAACCTTACTCATCTCTAGTATTCACTTTGGCAAGTGGAATTAATGTTCTCACATTAAATGAAAACACTGAATTTTTAATAGATTCCTTGGGGCTTGGTGATTGTTTGATACTGTTTCCAATAGAGAAAGGATATGAAGAAATGATATTTTTTCTAGTTTTGCAGTTAGGTTTTATTTTTCTTGCCTAGCCACTTGCTGAATCTTTTGACCCAGCTAGCTTAGGAGGAGAGCCCAGAAAACAGCTCTGGGTCCCCCCATGTAGGCAGCCTCCCTGGTGTAGCTGTATACCCACTCCTTTGGGCTTGGTGCTATCCCCTGTACGTTGACTTCTGCCTGTTGAATTGGCCACTCTTGTGTCAGGTAATGGTTGATCTTTTTCCTGCTGTGTTTGTTTGGATGGTAGTGGTTAACCTTTCTTCTGCTGTTTTTGCTTGGATGCTGTGTATACTAGACAAGGAGTTGAGAAAAGTATTTAAAAAAAAAAAAGTACCCAGAGGCACCCGGGTGGCTCAGTCGTTAAGCGTCTGCCTTCGGCTCAGGTCATGATCCCAGGGTCCTGGGATCGAGCCCCTCATTGGGCTCCCTGCTTTGCGGGAAGCCTGCTTCTCCCTCTCCCACTCCCCCTGCTTGTGTTCCCTCTCTCGCTGTGTCTCTCTCTGTCAAATAAATAAATAAAATCTTAAAAAAAAATACCCATTATTCATTATCTACTGCTGCTGTCATTGTGTGCTGCCTAGGACTCCAAGAGCTTTGCTTCTAGGCCAGTTGATTAACATCTTTGTTTGATGTGCGAGAATCTTCTGAATATGGAGGTTCTTATTCTTCTCCACCATTTACACCTTTCTGGCATGCAGTGTACCAGGGTAGGACCATATTGGTGATGGGTTTTTTTGAGGACTGGGAGTGGAGCTGACCGCTGAGAGGCTGCAAAGCTAGAGGGGTTGCAGAAGGGTTGAATAGTTGACTAGTCAAACTTAGACTGGCTCATGATGGGCCTTTGCCCCGCTGCCATACATGAATGCTGATATGGCAGCAGATGCCAGAATTGGTCCCTTAAACATCTGCTGACCTATTTGAAGTCTTTGCTGATTCTCTCAAGTAAGAGTCCTTGCTCCTCTGGGCTACCAATGCACTTTTTGTCCCCATGTATCTCCTTCAGTTTTGTAGCAAATAGTTAATTGTCTAAATGTCTGTTTCTTCTACCACATAAGTCTCTTGACAGTAGGAACGTACTCTCCTCCATCTCAGTTTTCTCATAATCCACAGATCGTGTCCCACTTATAACAGTTGCTCAGTAAATCTTACTGAGTCGAAGTGAGCAAAGCTGGCTGTCTCTATGGAAATACTGCAGCTAGTATCCATGTTTATCAGTTGTGTACTCTTCCATGAGATAGGAGAGTATCCTTGGAGAAAGCAGACATCATCATCAGAAGTAACATTAGGCTAGGCTATTATTGGGCTTTTTTTTTTTTTAGACAACTTTTCTTGGTATTAATTCACATACCATACAGTTTACCCATTTAAAGTATAAAATTCAGTGGTTTTCAGTATGTTCATAGAGTTATGCCACTATCATCACCACAATCAATCTTAGAAAATATTCATCATCCTCAGAAGAAACCCTGTACCTATTCTCTCCAGTCCTTAACCCGAGGTAACCACTGATATATTTTTTGTCTCTATAGATTTGCCTATTCTGGGCATTTTATATAAATGGAATCATACAATATTTGTGCCTGGCTTCTTTCACTTAACATAATATTTTCAAGGTGCATCCATATTGTAGCATGTGTCAAGCATAAAGCTTGATGGAAGTTGGGGGGCAGATGATGCTTGTTTTTTGGCTAGTTGTTGTGGCTGAGGCCAGGGATGAATCTGCCTGCTCTCTTGATGACCAAATCTACAGGCGTACCATGGAGATATTGTGGCTTCAGTTCTAGACCACCCCAATAAAGCAAATATTTCAATAAAGTGAATCAAATAAATTTTTTAGTTTCCCAGTACGTATGAAAGTTATGTTTACACTATATTGTAGTCTGTTAAATGTGCAACAGCATTATGTCTAAAAAACTATATATACCTTAATTAAAAATTACTTTATTGTTAAAATATGGAACCACTACCTGAGCTTTCGGTGAGTTGTAACCTTTTTGTTGGGAAGAATCTTGTCTCAGAGTTCATGGCTGCTGACAGATCAGGGTGGGGATTGTTAAAGGTTGGGATGGATGTGGTAATTTCTTAAAGTAAGACAACAATTAACTTTGCCACATCATTTCTCTGGAGCATACAGTGCTGTTTGATAGCATTTTACCCACAGTAGAACTTCTTTCAGAATTGGGGTCAGTCCTTTCAAACTCTGCCTCTGCTTTATCAGCTAAGTTTATATAATATTCTAAATCTTTTGTTATCATTTCAACAGTCTTCATAGCATCTTCACTGGGAATAGATTGCATCTCAAGAAACCGTTTTCTTTGCTCATCCATGAGAAACAACTCCTCATCTGTTAAAGTTTTATCATTAAAACTGGCTGAGATTACAGCCATTCAGTTACATCTTCATCTTCCATATATTTATTCTAGTTCTCTTGCTATTTCTGCCACATCTGCAGCTACTTCCTCCACTTAAGTCTTGAACCCCTCAAAGTTATCCTTAAGTTGGAATCGGCTTCTTCCAAACTCCTGTTATGGTGATAATTTGACCTCTTCCCGTGATCATGATTGTTCTTAATGACATCTAGAATGGTAGATCTTTTCCAAAAGGTTTTCAGTTTACTTTGCCCAGATCCATCAGAGGACTCTCTGGCAGCTATAGTCTTATGAAATGTATATCTTAAATAATAAGACTGGGGGGGCGCCTGGCTGTTTCAGTTGGAGGCACATGCGACTCTTGATCTCGGGGTGTGAGATTTCTACTAAAATAAGTAAATAAACTTAAAAAAATAATAAAATTTGAAAGTTGAAATCCATGGGCTGCAGAATGGACATCGTGTTAGCAGGCATGAAAACAACATTCATTTCATTGTACATCTTCGCCATCAGTGTTCTTGGGTGACCTAGTACATTGTCAATGAGCAGTAATATTTTGAAAGGAATCTATTTTTCTGAGCAGTAGGTCAACAGTGGGCCTAAAATATCCCATAAACTATCTTGTAAACAGATGTGCTGTCATCCAGGCTTTATGGTTCCATTTATAGAGCATAGGCAAAGTAAATCTATCATAATTCTTAAGGGCTGTAGGATTTTCAGAATGGTCAATGAGCATTGGCTTCAACATAAAGTCACCAGCTGTATTAATGCCTAATAAGAGAGTGAGCTTGTCCTTGGAAGCTTTGAAGGTTGGCCTTGACCTCTCCTCTTTAGCTGTAAAAGTCCTAGCTGGCATCTTCTTCCAATACAAGGCTGTTTCATCTACATTGAAAAAGCTGCTGTTTACTGGGGGCATCTTCATTAATTACCTTAGCAAGATCTTCTTGATAACCTGCTGCAGCTTCTACATCAGCACTTGCTGCTTTACCTTGCACTTTTATGTCATGGAGATGGCTTCTTTCTTTAAACATCATGAATCAACCTCTGCTAGCTTCCAACTTTTCTTCTTCAGCTTCCTCATCTCTCTCAGCCTTCATAGAATTGCAGAGAGTTAAGGCCTTGCTCTGGATTAGGTTTTGGTTCAAGGGAATGTTGTGGCTGGTTATCTAGACCACTAGAACTTTTTTCATATCAGCCATAAAGCTGTTTTGCTTTCTTATCATTCATGTGTTCCCTGGAGTAGCACTTTTAATTTCCTTCAAGAACTTTTCTTTTGCATTTGCAACTTGACTAACTGGCTCAAGAGGCCCAGCCTCCAGCCTCTCTCAGCTTTCAACATGTCTTCTGCACTATGCTTAATCATTTCTAGCTGTTGACTTAAAGTGAGAAATGTGCGACTCCTCCTTTTACTTGAACACTTGGAGGGCACTGCAGGGTTATTATTTGGCCTATTTTCAATATTGTTGTGTCTCAGGACATAGGGAGGCCCACGGAGAGGGAGAGAGACAGTGGAATGGCTAGTCCGTGGAGCAGTCAGAACACACACAATATCTATCAAGTTCACTTGCTTATGTGGGCCTGGTTCATGGTTCCCCAGAACAATCACAATAGTAACCTCAAAGATTCCTGATCACAGATCACCATGACAAATATAATAATAAGGATGAAAAAGTTTGAAATATTGTGAGAATTGCCAAAATGTGACACAAAGTAAGTAAATGCTATTGGAAAAATGGCTCCAATAGATTTACTTGATGTAGGGTTGCCACAGGCTTTCAATTTGTAAAAAACGCAATATCTGCAAAGCACAATACAGTGAAGGACAATAAAATGAGGTATGCTTGTATTTCATGGAAATTCCATAGAGGAGTTCTGAACTTGCTCCCCTGAGTAATTATGAGAATTAAGCAAGATTATGTCTACAAGTACCTAACCCAATGCTTGGCATATGAAGTGTCTCAGTGACTATTACTTCCTGTGTCCCATTTCAAGTTCTTAGATTTTAGTAAGAATTTGCCAAAGGGAAACAACAGGTAAATTTTTATATGGTACTTTGAGTTTAATATACTGATTTCTCTCTCCGTCCTTTTGTTTTTGTTCTCCCAAGGCTATGCCTTTCTGCTGTTCCAGGAGGAGAGCTCAGTGCAAGCATTGATAGATGCCTGCCTGGAAGAAGACGGGAAACTATACCTGTGCGTGTCAAGCCCCACCATCAAGGATAAACCGGTAAGTGATATGCAGCCAGCTGGTGCTTTTCTAGAGCACATATGCATTTGGAATAGCTGATCACCTTTTTTCTGTAATAGGAATGCTGGTAACTAGGATCCTCTTACCCAGGGTGACCTTGCTATGCAGTAGAGCTGGACTGTTGTGGATGAGAAACTAATAACAAATTACTCTGTATTTCGTTTTATACCTTTGGGACTGCGTGTAAACAAATGTGTCCTTGTCTTTCACTTTACAGCTCTTTCAAGCTAATTCCTATTCAGTAACTCTGAATTGAAGTAAACAATGCTCTTAGTGGTTTTGGCAACTGGTTTCTGTCATTATTTCAGATCAAGGACAGGAATAATTTATTATTTTTTTTAAAAAGATGGTAATTGGCAATGTTTATGCTCCTCTGAATGCAAGGCATTGTGCTGGGTGGTGCCCACAACGGACTAACTAGAGCCTTCTGGGCCAGGAGCTCACACTCTCAAATGGATAGGCTTCGAACAGGGCAGGAGAAGGCAAGGACAGAGAACATGGACCCAAAACCATAAATAAATGTACACTTATACAGCGTTTGTGTTAAGAGTTTGTGGTTTCTGAGCCAAAGGGTGTGAGTAAGTTGTTGGGTAAGAGAAGAAGACTGCTTCCTTTCTCCTGACAGGCATTATCAGTGGAGAAGGGGCAAGACTATATTCAGAACAACAGTAAAAAAAGAAATTGGTTAACATGGTAGAAGTAGGATGGAGGGAAATTAGGAGGGGGTGAGTTTGTGTATCAAGACTTGGTGCTAGGAGTGGGACATAGGGTAAAAACAGTGATACAGACCAAGGGACCAATGCAGGTATCTCTCACGGGACCTACAGCATGTCCTGTCAGACTTACACCAGACACGTGGGGCTTGCTTGGCAGTTAGGTTTATTCTCAGAAATGTGCATGGGGAAAGAGTTGGGGTCAGAAGTTAGAAGTCTTGACTCTAGCTCATTTAAATTATCTACTTGGCTCAGAATAAGTCACCCAATACTTGCAGAATTTTGATTTCCTTATCTATAAAATAACAGGCATATGGTTTCTCTCTGGATGTTGAGCAGCTCAGGTAAGAGGAAAATGAATGTGAGAGCATTTGGGATTTGTACAGGTATAACTGGATGATGCTATTAGTCCCAAATAGTGCCATAGTTAGGAGAGCAAGTTTAGAGCTTATCTACATGGTAAGGTCTGCTGAAAAGAATGGTGACTTCTAGAACAGGGTTTACAGTTGGTTGCAAAAGGATGATGCTGGGACTTGTCCACCTATGAGGGGAAGACTGCAGCACGGAAAGCAGAAGGAATTACTAAAGAATGGGGATATTGAATCATAGAATAATTGATGCAGAGGAAGCAAGGATTTTAGCAAGTGTGACACTTGCTGTCACTGTATTTTTCAAATTCTGGGGTCATTACCAAATATTTTAGGAGTTAGCAGACTTGGATAGGTAGCTATACAGGTCGGGAAAAAGAGTAGGGAACCTTTGCTAACTTTGATCTTAATTTAAACAGTGTGGAGAGGCTGTGCTTGTGACTAGAATGGGAGTATGCAGTGTTTCATCTGAATAAATAATGAGAATGCTGAAGTAACTTCTCTAAATCTCTTTGGAATCATGTGAGATTAGAAAGATTGATCCCATGTCCCATGTCCGATGCCTGAAAGGTAAATGGTCAACCTCCAGAGAGCCTCTGGAGGCTCTGTAGGAGAGGATTTGAAATATATTTATACATAAAAAAGGCAGAGGGGTAGAGGTCCACATGAAGATAGTTATGCCCAAAGTAGATTTAGAAGCAGTTGAATTGAGGGGAGGAGAATGGAGATGAGCAGATGGGCTTGTGTACCTTGGAAGGGTCACGTCACTGGCTCTGTGGGAGGAGGATCTTATGTTTGTCAAGGCAAGCCTTCACCAGGACTGGACATCCCTTGAGAAGGGAATGAGCAGTGGCGGTTGCAGATGGCAGTGGTATGTTGACTATTTTCCCTCCAATTACATGTATTACCCTGGGCTTGAAGGACTTTTGAAAATAACTAGTGGTAATTATCTGTTTTGGTAATGTTTATGGGGAAACTAACTTCCACTGTTTGTGTTTCTACAAATTTCTGCCTTATTGCAGTTTTCATTTTCTGAACTCAAGTGAAGCAGTTTTATTGGAGCTTGGTGAATTCTGAATGGTGGCTGCTGATCACGTATTTCTTTAACCCAGGCATACTCAGAATTTCCAGCATAAACAATTTGAATAAAACTTAGGATGGGAAACAGAAAAGTCCCTGAATACCTGTAATTCTGATGAACTGGATCCCATTTTGGGTTCCAGCTCTTTTGGCTCCATTTTTGAAACCTTCTCTTTCTTGGCTTCAACTCCACATCTATCACTCCCAACCTCATTTGGCCACACTTCCCCACCCAAGTTTCGGTACATTCCACCTCATTTTGGATGCTCCCACAGAGAATGAGAGTTGAGTTGAACTACTGGGAGTAAGTGAGGACCTTGGCAATAACTCAAGATAAAGTCAACCTTTGGAACTCATTCACCAAACCTTCTGAGCCATGGCTCTTTTTTGCTTTTTCTACTTCTTAGCTTGGCTACCTTTCAGGATCCTAGTGCCCTCATTCTGTTGTTTAGTTCTTTCTGTTGCTCCTTGGATTTCTCCTTGGAAATATACAGTGTTCCAGAATGATCTCACAATTTTCTATCCTTTGACCTTCTCCCTTCTCCCTTCCCCCCAATCAAACCCACATTTCCTTTGTGTGGATTAGGTGAATCAGATTGTTTTCCTAATACAGAGCCTGATAGCAAGATCCCCTCTCCCCTTTCTAAGATCATGTTTGTTTTTTAACTCAAACAAATCCCTAATCAGTGGATTTCAGATAGTATTGGGGAGATACTTTTAGTCAGTGATGACCTTTCATTTATGACCACACAGACTACCTTATGTATAGGTCTGATTCTGAAAGATGGCAGAAGATACTGTATTTATAACTTGTTCAGTTGACTTCTTGGTCCCAAAGAAGGGTAAACAAATTGGCAAGAGCAGGAGTTATTGTAAAGCTCCTAGATGTGTGATTTTTTTTTTCCTCCTCCAGCAAGAGGAGTTCCATTGCTCAGATGTTCTAAGCATCCCAAAGGATAGCTGTGTTCTTGTCCAGGCTTCCAGTGAAGTGGACAGACATTGTGACAGTGGTCTCTCTTGTCAAAGTGACTCCACTTTTTAAACATATAAAAAGACTGAACCTGAAGGTTCAAAGCAGCAAATTGATAGAGCAGGAAACTTGCCATAGACTAACTGAAATAGGGGCCGAAAAACAGTAACCTTCAAGACAAGGTGTGGAAGGAGATGTTTATGGTTCTTACCTTCTAAAACACTTTGGCCAGAGATGTGGAACAGTAGACACCTTGAAAGGAGTATACTAGAAGTTTCCTGCTTCCTCCTCCTTACAATTTATAGCATAATCGTAATTTATAAATATCCTGAAATATGACAGATTGATTTTGCTATACAGTTGATCCTTGAACAATGGGGTGAGGTGGGGGTAGGGGGTATTAGGGACGCTGACCCCCATGGAGTTGAAAAATCCACATATAACTTTTGACTCCCCAGAAGCTTAACTACCAGTACTGTACTATTGACCACAAGCCTTAACAATAACATACACACTTGATTAAACATATTGTATGTTATATGTACTGTATACAGTATTTTTTTACAATAAAGAAAGCTAGAGAAACGTTACTAAGAAAATCATAAGGAAGAGAAAAAGTGTACTATACTTCATTTATCGAAAAAAATCTGCATATAAGTGGACTTGTGCATTTCAAACCTGTGTTGTTCAAGGGGCAACTGTATATTTAAAGCTGAAGTTTGGTTATTGCTCAGGTAACATGGTCATCCACTCAAAATTTGAAAAACCTAAAATTGAAAAAAAAATGTTGGGAGTCAGGAAGCTGGAAACCAGTTGGAGGCTGGCTCAGTTCTTTAATTTTTAATTCTGTCCGATCTGTCTGTAATTCTTGTTTTTCTTACTCCCGTTTATGTACCAGTGGGATGTCTAGCACTTTTAGTCTCCTCTTTAGGTACAAAGACAGTCCAGATCCTTTTGCTTGGGACTGAAGACCTTCCCAGTCTGACTTCAAGTTTTTTTCAACCTTTCTTTTTCAACCTTTCCTTCTGAACCCTGTATTCCAGTCAACTGAAATATTTCTGTTCCTGTCTCAATTTCTAATTGCTACACTTATTTTAAGACCCCTCCCAAATGCCATCTCTCTCCTGAAGCCTTCTCTGATCACTACAGCATCTCTAGTGACTCACACCTACTATTATAGCTATCTCCAGCCCACATACAGCCATCTTTTCAAAATAATGTGCCTTCCTTCCTTTAAACCGTGTTTGAGTGCCAACTATGGGCAAGACATTAGAGCTGGTTATTATGAATTAGATATAAAATCCTGTGTTCAGAAAGTTAATAGTATAATGGGTAGGTAAAACAAGTATATAAATACACGAACCTAAAGAGCCTGGCACATAAAAGTTTTTAAAATATTTGTCAAATTAGGAAAAATAACAAATTCAATGAAGATAAGATTAAGTGCTTTGGAGGGTTTATGTATACCTGGAGTGATGAAAGAAAGTTTCTTGGATGAAGTGTCATTGGAACTAGGCCTTGAAAGTTGAAAAGCGTTTGGAGATTAGCCAGGCGAGAGGTGGAGCTGTGGAAGTGTGGGAAATGGACATTGCAGAGAAAGGCAACAGTGTAAACACAGATGAGAAATTGTGCAGAATGAGTGGAGAACATTTAATTGGTTAGATGAAGCACTCTAGAGAACTCTTGGTTAGATGGAGCACAAATGTATGAAAGGGAGCAGAGGGAAATTAAATTGGGAAACTAAGTAGGGGCTGAGTTACAGGGCTCCTTGACTGATGGCCTCAGCCCTTGGGTTTGTGGTATATTTACTTAAACTCTCATTCTCCACCTACTACCTCCTAAGACAAT